CCCGGGGACGCGGGGGTCCCCCGGAGCTCGCCTGCCGACCTGGACCGGAAGCGCCGCGCGGGTTCAGGTGCGACCCGGCTCTCGCCTTCTCCCCGCGTCGCTTTCGGAGCGTGCGTGGCCTCCCCGCCCGGCCTCTCCTTGGCGCCCCTCCCTGCCCCGGTTCTGTCTCGCGCTTGTACTTGCACTTGACTTGCCCAGTTGCAGAGGCTTTCCCGGCTCGCTGGGCAGCCGGTCCCGAGCACCCGCCGAGGGGCCGGCCGCCGCCGAACCTGGGACACTTTGCCTTGCTCTCCTGCTCGCCCTCGACTCGCGCCTCGCCCGGGCGCTGGAGGCTGCTGCCCCTAAGCCAGTGGGGCCATTAAAGCGATTCTCTTAAGTGACTCTAAACTTCTGTAATCAGACCCTGAGCAAACCCTAACGCTCAAGTGACATCAGTTACTTGCTCAAGCCTGGACTTGAGTTTTGAATCAAGAACTCTGAACTGCCAGGAAAGCGTCCGCAGTCGTGAGTCTGCAAGGTGGGTGACAGGGGAGGGCTGCGCACCGAGAATAGCCGGTGGCCGCCGAGACACGTTTCAAAACCTTTTTCTGATAAATGGTATTGTGACGTTAGCCCGAAGGGCCAGAGGAAATTGCATTCCCCCTTCCTGCTGTCTCCCTTGCCAAGTTTTTCTTTCTTGGGTCACTTCTATACGATTTATGGCTTCCCAAAAAACGCTTTCGCCGTTAAGCGACTGATAGCCTCAGGTGGAAGAGAAGGCGGTTGAATGATGTTGTCAGTAACATTTAGGCATGCTGTTGCAGGCCTGGATGTTTGTGGATGAAGTGAGGTTTTTGGCGTGTGGAGCTAGGCTAATTTGGTGGAAATGGAGTAAGTAGACTTGTGGGAGGCCCAGCTAGAGGTGAGACAGGCATGTGTGGACAACGGTGTTGTACACAGGCATGTGTGGACAACAGCTCCCTGTTTAGGATGGATTAAATGAGATGGTGTGCGTGCACTGTTGGATTATCCGTCCATACATGACAGTTTAAAGAAAAGCCACAAAAAATGTAGTTCTCATTAATACTGCTTAGTTTTTCTGGAGTTAGATTTCACATGTGCTGCTGCTAGTACACTAATGCATCTTCTACGATTTAACGAATTTGGGGGCCGGGCTCGGTGGCTCAGGCTGTAATCCCAGCACTTTGGGAGGCCGAGGCGAGTGGATGGCCTGAGCCCACGAGCTCGAGACCCACCTGGGCAACTTGGCGAGACCTAGTCTCTGCAATAAATCAAAAACTAGCCGGGCGTGGTAGCGCGCGCCTGTAGTTCCGGCTACTTGGAAGACCGAGGCAGAAGGATCGCCGGAGCCCAGCAGGTCGAGGCTGCGGTGGCCGGGAGTGTACCACGGCACTCCAGAATGGGCGACAGAGTGAGACTCCGACTGGAAAAAAAAAAAAAAAAAGAATTTTGGATAGAGTAGGTCATTCAAGTTGCGTTTATATTCAAGCATATTCTAGAGTAAAGAAATCCAGGAAGCCCAAAGGAGGCAGTCTGTCAGAGTGCTTAAACTTTGGCAAATGTGTCTGACCTGCATACTATTAATCATGTTCACTGAGGGATGCATTGACAGTACATTTAACCCAACAAAACCAACATGAAGTTGGAACCGGATCACAGACGGACCCACATTCCCCTAGCTACATTGGCAGTTTGGGCACATATTACCTAGAATCTCTTCTGTGAAATAACTGAGATCCATGTGATTAGCTTGCCTTTTACTTCAGTTCCCTTGTATAGCTAGATTTTTTAAAAACCCAAGGCCTTGAAAGTGGGATTGTTTTGTGAAAGTGACATCTTTTCTAAACAAATAGTATTAAGGACTGAAAAAGTGGGAGTATGGTGTGAGAATACAAATGGATTGTTGAAGAGAATTCCTACCTTTTGAAACGGTGATATCTTATTTATATCACTGTTTACAATTTGCTAAGATTTTTTTTGTATATTTCATTAACTCTTACAATAGCACAGCAAAATAGTTTTTCACTCTCATGCTTGTGAGGACTCAAAATTAGTAAACTGATAGTGACTGGCAGATTAAGTTTATAGAACTTCAAAGGCAAATGGTTTGCCTGAAGTCAGACATCCAGGAAGTAGTAAAGCCAGGACCAAGCCTAGTTCTTTTTTCCTGCACTTTTTCTATTTTGTTGTAGAACCCCAAGTGTTATAAAATACTTATTTTGGGTTACTATGAAGGTTTTACTTTTAATGGGATTTTAAAATAGTTTTGAATTGTAAAAACTATTTACAATTTTTAAGACTCCTAAAAAGTTTATAATTGAGTAATTTAACTCGATTTTTTTTGGTAGAAATGAGTTCTTGCTATCTTGTCCAGGCTGATCTCGAACTCCTGAGCTCAAACAATCCACATGCTCAGTCTCCCAAAGTGCTTGTCTCCTCCCCAGCCTTTAACTAGATTTTTAAGTTTAGTTATTTTTTTAATGAGCCCATTAAATTTTTTGTCTCTTACCATCCAATTTCCATGAAACTGCCTCTCTAGGTCCAAGAAATTCTTGCCTTTGCAATATTAACGTCATTTATGATGCTTAGCTTATCTTGTTTATATAAACAAGAAGTTTATGTACTTTAGCTAGTGGAAGAATGTCTTATGTGTGTTATCTTTTTTTTTTTTTTTTTTGAGTCAAAATCTCACTCTGTTTTCCAGGCTGGAGCGCGGTGGCATGCTCATGGCTATTGCATCCTCGACTTGCTGGACTCAGACGACCCTTCTGTCTCAGCTTTCCAAGTAGCTGGGACTACAGGCACACGACACCATTCCTGGCTACTTTTTGAAAAAATTTATTATAGAGTTGAGGTCTCACCAAGTTGCTCAGGTTGGTCTGAAACTCCTGGACTTAGGCAGTCCTCTTGCCTCGGCCTCCCAAAGTGCTGGGATTGCAGGCGTGAGCCACCACGCCTGGCCTGACATCTTCAACAGGGCATTGACAAAGTCTAGAAACAGCATAGATCATAGTGTTTGTTAGTTGTTGGATCAGTGTCAAATTGGAAGGATTAGTGGCATTCCTTGTTCTAGTTATCATTTTAATCAGTGAGTTGGATAGTAATAAAGAGGATAACAGCCAATACCTATGTAGCACTTAGGTATATACTGGGCATAGTTCTATGTGCCTCACATATATTAATTCACTTACCCTTTTAAGTAAGTACTGTTTTTTATTCCTACTCTAAGAAAGCACAAAGAGGCTGGGCATGGTGGGTATGGTGGCTCACACCTGTAATCACAGCACTTTGGGAGACCAAGGCAGGAGGTTTGCTTGAGGCCAAGAGTTCAAGAAATTAGCTGGGCATGGTGACATCCGCCTGTAGTCCCAGCTACTGAGGAGACTGAGGCAGAAGGATCACTAGAGCCCAGGAGCTTGAGGTTTCAGTGAGCTATGATTGCGCCACTGCACCCCAACCTGGGCTGTAAAGCGAGACCTGTCTCAAAAACAAATAAAAAAAACACAGAAGACTTCATGAAGTGACTTCTCTGAGGTCCCAGTTAATATCGATCAGGAGCACTTCTGTTGGAGAGCCTAACAGAAAACAGTGTTAAGAATTCGCAGGAAGCTACCAAAGTGAAAGAAAATGTATATTTAAGAGTTGTTTGATGGGGTGCAGTGGCTCATACTTCTGATCTCAGCACTTTGGGAAGCCGAAGCAGGAGGATTGCTTGAGCCCAGAAGTTCGAGACCAGTCTGGGCAACCCAGTGAGACCTCTTCTCTATAAAAAAAATCAAAGAAAAAAAAAAAAGAAAGATAAATTGAGACACACTCTTCAATACTTTGTTGCTCACTTTATTTCAAAAATTCAAGACACAGCAAGATGCGGTAGCTCATGCCTGTAATCCCAGCACTTTGGGAGGCTGAGGCAGGAGGATTGCTTGAGCTCAGGAATTTAAGACAGTCTGGGCAACAAAGTGAGGCCTTGTTTCAAAAATTATTTAATTAATTAATTTTTAAAATTAAAAAAAAAAGCTCAAGACACATGGGACGTCTGCTCTTCTAAAGCCTACCTCTAAATTCAACCAGATTATCAGATTACCTTGAACCTAGATCAGGCAGCACAGATGGCATCAGCCCTTAGAATAATTTCTACTGAAATGGGCTTTGGGGAAGTTATAAGGAATACTCCTGTGAAATTGATCACTGTTATTGCAAAGATATTGTTCTGCATTCAGCCTCTTCTCCAATATGTGATAATTACCTTTGTCAGTTCTGTTTTGGTTCAAATAACCTGTTTGTTTTAACTTTATGGGCCAGTGATTGTGTTTCTAAGCTAACCGTGTCCTCAACTATTAAAAATCAAACCAAGTGACAATAACAAACTTTCAGACCAGATCATCCATAGCACATCTATCTTTTTAAGTGTTTATTTTATTGTTTTTTAGTTCCCACCCCACATCTGTCTTAAAGTGGTGTAACATGAAGGTGTCCTCCAAGTTAAACTCATCACCATTATACATTTAAGTAACTAGAATGAAGAAAATTGTGGAATGTAATTGGTAGTTATGAGTCAGTTAAGGAGAAATTATCTACTAAAAACGAATTGCTTTAAATTTAGAGTAGCGGATATGTAGTCTTTTTTTCTGGCAGTAATAGGATAGTAAGACCGGTTATTTTTAAGTGCCTTTCTAGGCTGTGATGGTAAATCCAGGTCATCTTCACATAAAAGAAGGCACATTTTCCTGTGGAAAGAATATTACTCTCATTTAGCCAAAAGAGATGCCCTGTAGGGGAAAAGAGAGGGGAGGTGAAAACACCCTGGGTCATTCAACAGGAGTGTTGCTGATTAATCTGGTTTTGTTTGAAACTGAATTATTAAGTATTCAGAGGATGATTGTGGGCTCTCTGAGTGCAACAAAGGCAGAATCTGTGATGAACCTGTAACATGTAACCCATTTAACAGTAATGTCAAGGTCTACACATAGCCTCCAAAAGAACTGCCCAAGTACAGCTGGCAGAGACCAAAAGTCGTCTAAAAGTGTGACCACTTCAATATGAATTAGTATAATGGACACCTAAGTAGCCAATGTAGTGTTACAGGGCTTCTTATTTGGGGATAATGTCAAGATTGTAAGGTGTCTTGATCTCTGCAGTGGTTTACTTGGTTTTGGAGATCATATTTTAGAGGCACACAAATACTGAAGCATAAAACAGGAGGGCAGCCAGGATGGTGGGAAGCCTGAACATCCTTCCATTTAGGAGGTAGGGAACAGAGGCTTGGGGGGACGTGAAATGATTTTTAGCTTTTTGGAGTACTATCACTGGGAAGAAAGGCATAAGTAGACATTTGTGTTTGCTACAAGATGATAAGTCTACAAGGGTAAAACTGCAGGAGACTTATTTCATTTCTGGAAAGGGAAGTTTATATATATTTTTCAAACAAACAAAAAGGAGCATTAGAACAAAGGGAGTGATCTCTTTTTAAAGTATTTAGACATTGGTCCAAAAACCACTTACTGGTGATATAGAGAGTACAACTGTACTAGGAACAAGGTTGAAATAAATAACTTTTCCAGTTTGCTCATTAAGAGCCTGAGAATCCCTGACCTAGAAAACATATATGCATATATAGATATATATATTTTTTGAGCAGGGTCTCACTGTCACCCAGGCTGGAGTACAGTGGCATGATCACCGCAGCCTTGAACTCCTGGGCTCAGTTGATCCTCCCACCTCAGCCTCCAGAGTAGCTGGAACTACAAGTATGCTCCAACAAGCCCGCCCAGCTCACTTGTTTATTTTTATTTTTATAGAGATGAGGTCTCACTATTTTTCCCAGGCTGGTCGGAAACTCCTGGGCTCAAACAATCCTGCCTTCGCCTCTCAAAATGCTGGGATTACAGGCATGAGCCACTGTGCCCAGCCCTAGAAGAAATATCATTTGACTAATGATAATGGTTACTGGCACATTCATTTATTCAAGTAAATATTTATAAGTGCCCGCTAAATACTGGTACCTCTTACAAGGGAACAAGAAAGACAAAGTTCCTTCCTTTGTTCTTCAAAATTTTCAAGGGACAGATACCAGTGATTTAGAATCAGCAAATCAATAGACATGACTAAAATACTCGGGTTTTGTTAGGCTTTTGAATAGGTTGACTATGCTTACTAGCTCTTTTTTAGTATTTTTTTAAGCACAAACTTTTAAAAACTCATCACAGTTTTATTTGTCTGAATTAAGGCAAATTTTAAATTAGGGAAAGTTTTGAAATTGCATTATAGCACATGTATAGCTTAAAATACCGTCCAAATTAAAATGTGAATAACTTTGACTTGTTTACCACTTTAAATGGTTAGTGATTAATTCCCTGTTAGGTGTAGAGAGGGCATGGGTGAGAGAGGGAGACCAGCTAGGAGGCTCATGAAGAACTGGGTGAGAGTTGATGGTGACCTGGCTCATGTAGAAGGAATGAAGATGGTCAGAGATGTGAGTGGAGATGAATGCAGAGAGGGTGCTTGTACTCTGGATCTTTATTTAAGGGAGAGCCAGCACGACTTGTTGATAGATTGGATGTGGAGGGTGAGCTCTTGGGTGATTCAAGGATTTCTGGCCCAAGAAACTGGAAGCTCTGGAGTTGCCGGCAACAGAAATGGGGAAGAGTGAGTGAAGCCTTTTGGGGTATGATGAAGGTGAGGAATGGAGTTCTGGATAGTAAAGCTGGAGATGCCAATGACACAGCCAGCAGAGATGTTGACTACAGTAGTCTGGAGTTCAGGGCGGAAGGCCAGGCCTGATCCACATGTAGGCGTCATCAGTGTTGACAGAGGAGAGGAGGACCGTCCACGGACCCTGGCCATTCCAAAGCTAAGTGGTAAGTAGGGAGACGGAGTGCTGGGGCCTGGGATGGTCTTTTGTGTGTTTCTCTTTTCTTAGCAAAATGGGAAGCTAGATCATCTACTGAGAGAGGATGGGAAAAGAGGCATTGGGAAATTGAGGAGAGGAATTGGTTTGTGTGCTTTGCTCTGTCTGGTCAAGTTCAGCTCTCCTGGTGCTTGGCTTAGAGTTTGCACTCAGTTGGGTTTAACGAGACCTGGAATTTTTCCAGGGGACCATAATGAAAGGAAGGAAAAAGAGTGATTTTGGGATGACTGGCCATAGTTTAGGACAGCCAAGGAGGAGGGGAACCAGGACACGAAGAGGGTGAAAGCCAGTAACAACGTGGTGGGTCAGAGCTTTGGATAGAGGCTAGCGGGGTTAAAGGATTTTCAGGCTACGGGTGCCAGAGGGACTGAGCTGGGAAGATTGGAGGTGCTTGAAATGGAAAGTAGAGAGGTTGTGGCCACTGGGTAGACACTGGCTGGACACTGCAGGGGGACAGGGGACAGGAGCTCAAGGAAGTGAGAGGTTTTCATATGATTACTCCACACACAGTGAGCATTTTCCCCATATGTCATTATCTGGTACTTAAAGAGAAGTGGAGTTGGGGGTGGAGGGTGCAGGGCGGGGAGGGAGAGCCAGAGGAGTTCATGCAAATCTGGATTTTATTTTTCTGTGCCTTAGCGTCCAAATGCTGATAACTGAGCCCAGTCTCATAGGCCCATGTCACGAACATTCTCATAGCTGGTCTTTCTTCTTACTGCAGCAACTACTGGTACTTCAGAGCTGAATGCATTCTTGGATGACGCAGAATTTGCTGAAATTATATTAAGAGCAGAGCAAGCAATAGAAGTTGGAATTTTTCCAGAAAGAATCTCTCAAGGTTCAAGTGGAAGTTACTTTGTGAAGGATCCTAAGAGGGTGAGACTTTCACAAACCTATCATTATAGAAACGAAATCTTGGAAAACACTAAATATGAAGTCATTGTGAGTTTCCGAAGATAATTTCCTATTAAATTTGATTGCACCTTTTTTTCTGAAGTAAAGGTCAGTTTTTAATTTTTACTAATGCACTCTACTATATAAAAATAGAGGTCATCACTTTTTTTTTGAGTTGGGGTCTCACTCTGTCTCCTGAGTTCAGTGGTACATTCATGGGTTACCATATGGGCTCAGGTGATTTTTCCATCCCACCTCCCAAGTAGCTGGGACTACAGGTGCGCACCACCATGCCTGGCTAATTTTTAAATTTTTTTTGGTAGAGAGTAGTTCTCACTATGTTGCCCAGGCAAGTTTCAAACTCCTGGACTCAAGCAGTCCTCCTGCCTTGGCCTCCCAGAGGGCTGGGATTACAGGTGTGAGCTACTGTGCCCACCAGATCTAATCATATTAAGTTGTAGTTTGCTGTTCTGTTATTTTATATTTGGTTTTAAACTTTTATTGATACCATCACTCAACTGTAGTTTTGTTGAGTATATGCATATTGATAAGCCTTTTTCTTATAGTAGCCTTTAACTTTGTTAGTCAAGCAGAGTAGTAGTTTAAACTTTCAGAACTTGTTTAGTGTCATTTCCAAAGTTCTTGATTTTTCTTCAAATATATATTTTGCCCTACGAATACTTTTTTGCATTATACTGAGGATGGAGGCTGGGTGTTCTGAAGTTTGAAAGCATTGGAATATAACAAAGTAAAATGAACCAGCGTATGATCGTAGTGTAGAAAAGAGAAGTTGATATGGCACTTTGTTCCACTTAGTCTAGAATTTTTCAAAAATACATTATATTTTTCAAAAAGCTTTCCTCGTGATGCATAATGAGCAGGGTTCCCCCCCCAGAGGGAAGACTGTTTATAATTTCACCCAATTTTTTTTTATAAATATTGAAGAGATATTTTAAAAGTTATTTTAAAGCATAGCAGGTTTTTTTGAGATTTAAAATATATTTGTAGGGAGTAACCCCTATGGTCCCCTCCCACTGTGGGAGCTTTTCTGTCCTCTCAATAAATCTTGCTTTCTCAAAAAA